AGAACAAAAGTATAGCTTCAAGGGATTCAAGTTTAGCTGGGCTTCAAAGACTGTTTCATACAATTAAAACGGAAAACCAGCATTGGCCTTTTCCAACAATTACATACAGAAAAAATAATTAAAACACATCGAAAGGCCCACCTTGAAAATCTGTAATTACAGAACAAGGCTGTGAGTGAAAGAAAGCCCCCCCGTCTTCCAGTAACAGCTTCTTATTGTTTGCAGGAGGTGGCTGTCCTGCTGTTCAGAGTGCACATATTGGTTTTAGCCTTGAGCCCATCTGTCATTTGAAATTAAAAAGAAAAATCCATTTGCAGTAGGTTACCGTGCTGCAAACAGGATTATTTTTACTTTATTACACCGACAGTAAATGCCACCAAAATGCTTGTCCCTTAAGCATCAAATGGAAACCATATGCTTCGTGATCACAAACAAATATGGAAGTTGTACGAAAAACAATGTGGCATGCTTTCTCTGGGACTAAAAGGCATTTCATTTGCATTCTTAGGGGGATAAAAATGGTCGTGCAGAGAGGTTTGATGAAACCTCTCCAAACACAGCGACACAGCAAAGGCTTCGTTTCGCCACATGTAAATCAATTAGTGGAGAACATGAGAGGTGGGTTGTCACACTGCTGCTTTGTGTGCTCTTTGTCCAGTGTCTCTACTCTCAGAGATTGAGCTGCTGCTGCTGCTGCTGGGAAAGCTGCCAAAAAAGCATACAAACCATGACTGGGCAAACACGGCTCCACAGGCCCTGTTACTCTGCAGATACCTCGGAGCAATCGGGGCCGTTCAATCACAACATTCGACACACCTACCTCCATGTAACACTGTTAGTCATGATCTAGGGGGACACAATTAATCGAAATCGCATTATAGGCATAATAAAATCGCTGGAGGCGCAATATTTGTTGCAAAATCTGAGTAAATATTCTACAAATCGTAGGCTTGGGACTTCACAAAGTGCAGATCAGTCTTAAACAATCACACCATGGTCATTCTAAATATATACCTTAATGATAATGACAATGATGGTACGAAAATGACCAATCCCTCCAAAATTGTGAATAATATTGCCATTGCAATATCTGTCAAAATGTCCAAATCGTGCAGCCTCTCATAATATATCCGATACATTTATCCAGACTAACAAAGAGGATATATTCTTTCAAAATGTCAGCTCCATGCTTTCACCCAGGAAACACTTTGGCTAAGGTAGTAATCTACCCAGGACTCATAATCAATTCCCTATTATCGCCTCTGAGCTGCTACCCAGAGTTAAGAGCTGCAACCATTACTTGATGGATGTATTAGTCCGACAGAAGTCCAATCAGCAGTGTCTTCAATAATCCACTGATCTTAAAGTCATTGAAGTCATTTTTCACGCTGCTCGAATGTCAATTTATGTCTTGCTTAATTGTACATCTGTGTTTCTGGCTGTTGGCTCGGCAAATCAAGACATTTCAAGATGTCACCTTGGATTATAGGAAACCATGATGGGTCTTTTTCAAGTTTTTTTGTTTAGTTAGAAATTCAAAGTTTGGCTTAAGTATTTGTGTGAGTCAATGTCCGCAACTAGCCACCATTCCCATTAACAAAGAGTTTGATTATTTTCTAGGTTAACCTTTTGGCGTAAATGACACAGAATTGAGCAAAATGTCCACGGGATGTGTTTTTTTGTCTGAAACACAAAGATATTCACAATAATATGATACAAAACAAAAACAATTCTTTAAATCTGATTACAGAATTTTCTGACATTCTGGCATGAAACATTAAGACTGTTAATGGTTGGTTGGCAATTTTGTTTGTCAATCAAGGAATCCATTAGTCGACTAATCATTGTAGCTCTAGAGGAGATGAATGAGTATAAAACTATAATTAATATTAAATTGGCTGGAAAAGGACTGGGTACTAAAGCTTCAACACTTTCTCGGCACCAAAGAAATGGAGTAGTACCATAAGCTGCAAAGAAATGATTGATAACATTTGTACATTAAGTGAGCTTAACACTAGAACCGCCAACGGGTCAATTTTACCCGCAGCTGTTTTTTGATTGCATGTAACTTTTTTTCAATAAAATATTCAAGTCTCCCAGTCCGTGACTTTTCCTGAAAGTGTGTTATGTAGCACCCTCTGTTGTTAAACATTGTCAATATGAAGTCAGATTGAAAAAAATCGCCAAAAGAAATGCCATTTATACCTATATCCGCCAGCGGGTAATATTTACCTCATAGAAAATGCAGCGTAAACATGACGTGTTGCTATAGCAACGCCTTTTGTCTACTGCGGTGACAGACAGACAGACAGACAGACAGTTCTGTATGATAAATAAAAGAACATTGTACCTTGAAAATCAATAGCGGGTAAATTTGACCCGTTGGCGGTTTTAGGTATACAGCGACCTCTGGCGGTTCTAGTGTTAAAAGCGTTTTCAATGAATATTAAGAAATGTTTTTGCACAGCTGCTTCAGATAAGGCAGCATTATAAAAGTTTGCCTTTTGTACAAAAAGGTATCAGCATATATCAAAGTATGGTGCTGCTTTCTAAAACAAACTCTAAAAAGGAACATATGCAACCCTATGTTATATCTAGTTTTGAGGTCTTAATTGTTGAACATACAAAACATGGACCCGTCTTGGCACAAGGAAGAACAAGGAAACTCAGATGCTCTTATCAACAAACAGGTCTATATCTGAAGTGTCCTTGAGGAAAAGCCTTAATCCCCATCGGCTCCAGGAATGCTGCTCTGCTCCTGACCTCTGACCTTCACCTGGAGGAGAAGGGTCCATAAAAAGAGAGGCGGATTTCCCTCAAGGCATCAATAAAGCGTCCCATTTCAGCTGAGGTATTGCTACGGCCCTGCCTGAGCTGATATAGAGAGACACAATCACTACGGCATCTTGATAACAAATCCCTGTGAGACTTTTATTTAATCATCCCTGGAGAAAACCAAATCACTCACCTGTTTACAACGTTACGCGTGAGCCAATATGTATGAAAATATACATTTGAGGTGAGAAAAATGAAGAATAATAGATGCATTACAGAACAGTGTTTTCCCCCAGAGCAGCCTTTAAGTCCATGATATTGCTTTTTCACACCTGGGGATTTGTCTGCTTAGCTGCTCAACCGGCAGGTCCGCTGCATTTCTCTTCAGATACTCGTTTACTTTGCATAAGGAGAGGACGCTTTGAACTGCAAGGCTGAGTGCAGCGGGGCCTAAGCAGCAGCTAACCAAGTGTGGATGCAAGTCAAAATGCAATGCAACAATTCAAATGTACCCCTTTGGTCTTACCTGTAGAGCAGTATGCAGCTGCAGGTGCCTGGAGTCAGTATATAAAGAGGGCAGGGTGTATTTACTGATGCAAGGACATAGGGTTTTGCAGGATTATTGTGAATTTATGATCATACTCTGTCAACTGTATGTTTATTAAACATGGAAATAAGATAATGGTTGCTGTTGGAATTTGAAAATCTTGTTTTTTTTGCGATAATCCAGGGTTTTAGGTTTACAATTTAGCAAATTGTGTTTAAAATGACACGAAAAAGCTCTGAAGAAGTTACTTCATTGTACATTTGACTTCCCCATAGTCAAAAACATATCACTCGATACCAAAATCACCTACATTGATCCAGTGGTTAAAGTTCTGTGGTTAAATACCATTTCCTCAGCTGGAAACGTTTGTGAAATTAATTTCATTGAAACATTTGGAAATTGGCTAGCAGGCTTTTCTAAATAAATGACCACAACATGGACATGTTGGTGCTTGTAACCACGTTTGAAAGATGGTTGCAGCTATCTGCAGTACCAAGTGTGTGCCTTCCTATTTGCGTGGGACTGGAGGTCTCCGAGGCCAAGATCCTCTGAAACCTCCTCGGAGGCAGCCGGCCATGCGCCAAATCTGTTACTGCAATTACTTCTGACAGCAGCGCCTCCGTGGCCCAGGAAGGGACGAAGGAACACTGACCACGAGCGTAAGCTGCATTTGTGTAGTCAAGAGTTTCCTGCTGCACACTTTGGTGAAACCATCAAGGAGAGTATTCCTTAGTGCACACGTAGGCGTTCCTTTTGTGCCGTAATGAAATTGAGGCAAGGGAAGACTTAGTGAAAACGAGTAGGAGAGGGGATGTATTGTGTGAAACGCCTGAAAGGGTGGTTATGCAGTGAAGATGGAGAAAAATGTTGGCACAGTGCAGTTTACTTGAGAGATCATCCCTGCTAAAAGTCATACTCCGCTCACTGCTAGAGACAGTGCTGGAGCATCAATATAAAAAGGAGTTGGATATTAAAGCAGGATTAGTGTTTGGGAGTTCATCTAGATCACTGGGTCATGTCAGTCATGTCTTTTGGATGTTGGATTTCGTACACTTTGCAATTGTAAGTGTATGTAGGACACACTGTGTTAGAGCCCTCCCACATCAGATGAGACGACTTCACACACACACACACACACACACACAAGGAGATGGCAGACAGTTGTGTAATATGTTGTGAGTCTGTGGTTCTCACGAGTGAGCAACTGTTACATGATGTACTTTGAGTGTTTCAGCTCCGATCTTATCCATCTTTGCAAAATTCATATTCATTTTTGCTCATTGAGCCTTACTGTTGGACTGTGAGTTTTGGCTACAGTATGGTGGATGCTGGTAGGTCTGATAGTAATTTATAATGAGCTTGCAAGTCATTTTTTAATAACCTTAAAGAAGAAAACATGCCAAAAAAAAAGCCAAAATATTACTGCAGGGACTTGCACTCTTTCTTAAACCCTTTCCAAAAGGTGTAACAGGATTGGATCATTGTGCGCGTGCGTGCGTGCGTGCGTGCGTGCGTGTGTGAGTGTGTCCATCTTCCAGAAAATGGAAGCCACCTCTGCAGTTGCATGTTGCAGAAATGTGGCACCATCACTTTTCTATGCAACACAATTAAGATCCTGGAAGCTTACTGAAGGAGGAAGAGGAGGAAGGGGAGGAGGAAGGGGGGGGTTCCTACTCACCACATGAAAGCGCCACCACACACACGAGGAGAGTCCATCTGCAGTCCCGTGCACCTGACATGGTAGAAATCCCAGCTGGAGGATGTTTAATCCCAGTTGTCCCAGTAGCCGGCGGGGGATAAATCACCCTCTGCAGGTGTGAGCCTCCACACGATGCTGGTGCAGTTCTTCCGAGGCTCTTAAATTGGATAATGCGTAATGAAATAAATGTATATGCACGAGTATTTGAGCCTGTGTACGCCTGTCAAGGTCTTCAAAAATGTGATTGTCCAGCTATAGTCTTTACTGTGTCTTGACGAACAGGAGAGCTAAAAAAGGCACGGCCAAACCGCGTCTTTTCCAGGCGAAACAGAGCGTTCTTTCCACATGGGAGAAGAAAGTTCCAAGTATCCTGCTCCAAATTGGACAACTGGGGAAAGAGATGAAACACAGTGTTCCTGAAACGGATCAAAGTCCTTGCGCAAAAACCCGATGAATGTCCCCAAAAATCATAAATCAATGGACATCAGTTGAGCGATGACGCGCGCTCTGGCTCGAAACACAGGAATCCTGCCACAAAAAAGGCTCGATTGGAGTAAATAATGACAAGCAAATAGGAAAGAGAAATATGATTAGTCTGTGTGATTAGTCATTCTTCAATTAGGACTTCCAAAAAATGTGATTTCCTTGCTCAAATCATGGAAACGGTTGGAGAGGAGGGCGAAAAAGGCATCCGCAGCGCTGTGGTTCAGCTGTCACTGACTTACCCAGCTGAGAAAAAAGTGGGAATACATTCTGAGCTGTAACCGGGGAAATTGCACCTTTACACAAGCCGGAGAGGTCCTGGTTAGCTGCTCACACACACCGAAACATGTCCCGGAGGTTTCCAGGAGTTCACCTACCGCAGCGGGTTGCGACAGTCCCTCAGATGGGAACCACCGGAGCGCAAATATCCAGAAAAGTCCTCCTACTTTCTTGTTCCGCGTTACTTTGTGGTGTCAAGCCGGAGAACCGGAGCGCAGCATCGTCGCTGACCGGGAGTCTGAAACAAAGCCAAGTCCCCAAAAACTCTCCGGTTATGTGCGTTTTCAAATCCAAACGACTGCACCTGTGTGCGGTGTTTGCGGTGCGCACAGAGAGCTGTCTGTCTCTCTGTCTCTCTGACTGTCTGTCCACAGCTGTCTGTCCGGTGTTTTAACTCCGCTCCAAACTAAACGTGCTCACCTTAAAATGTACAGAGCTGCAGCTCGCCCCCGTGAAGACAGCTGCAATATACTGTAAAGACCCATTTCCGGTAATCATTTCCAAAATAAAATCCAGTAAAACAAATCTACTTGTAGGCTCAACATTTTTATTTTGAGTAATGTAAAGTACCATCAATGTTATTTTCATTAGTTAATATGGTTAATGAATATTTTCTTGATATAACTATTTTAGTTACAATTGTTATTAAGATAGTGGTAGTCGAGATATGATTATTATTGCTGTTGGTAGAAATGTTGGAGTTTAGAAGTTAACATTCTGCTTTTTATAAATGCCGAACAAACCGCTTATTGTATCAAGGCTTGCACAAACATATAATGCAATGTAAATATTAAAACCAAAGCAAAACATAAGATGATGCAGGCATTAAGAGATACTTTTAATATTACATTCAAGATAGATCCCTAACTATCCCTTTATCATGGTCACTAATGGCATCCATATGTTGAAGAGACTCACTATACTTGAACAACATTTGTTCGCAGGTTTGTTTTGAGGCCTCAGCTGTTGCTGTGACCAGGCAGTTTTCTGGCTCTGAGATGTCTTTAAGTTTAAATTATTAAGTTTGCACGCTTTTATTTTTAAGGAAACAGGGCTGACATCCGGTCTACTCCATATTAGGAGTGTCTAACTTGACGCAGCTCAAACCGGGCATCACAGACAAAAATTAATCACGTGAGTGTCTTACCCTCCTCCTCCTCCTCCTCCTCCTCATCATCATCATCAGACAGAGAAATAAAAGAGCTTCTTCACTCCTGTTGGTTTGGCAATAAGATCATCTGTATTTCAAGTTTAATATGAAAAGGAGACTTTTCATTATTAGGCAGTAGAGCTTTCTCCCAGTTGACCTGACAAACATGCAATTCTTGACATTAAAATAGTTGTATCGTATTTAGTTTTATATTTGTATCTACTTAAAGGTGGGGTAGGTAAGTTTGAGAAACCGGCTCGAGATACACTTTTTGTTATATTCCATGGAATGCTCTTAACATCCCGATAGCAATGAATATCTTAAGTGCTTTGACAAAAAATCCATAACAAAAATGTCATCTGTGGAAGCTGTAGTACTGTAAAAAGCACGACCAATTAGGGCTGTGCGATTATGGCAAAAATCATAATCACGATTATTTTGGTCAATAATTGATATCACGATTATTAAAAACGATTATCCATTTACTTTGAAAACATCCATATATTGAAAAAAAAAATGTGAACAGTATGTTTTTAACAGTTGATTACCCTGAACTTTAAGTATAATTCAACTGAAAAACCAACACAGCCCTACGACCAATCATTTTAGCCGGCTAAAATAACTGGATGGCCTACCTGGTTTCCTTAGGTAATTTTGGAGAAACCAGCTCGAGTGCGCTAGAATTTGAAAATACACAGCCGGAAGAAATCTGCTACTTCCTTACAGAGCCCCTCCTCCAACACACACGAACGCACACATGACCAATGAGGGCACGGGATAAGTTTGTGCACAGATGGAAGGCTGACAGGCAGGTAGGCCATCCAGTTATTTTAGCCGGGCTGGCTCAGATGATTGGTCGTGCTTTTTACAGTACTACGGCTTCCACAGATGACATTTTTTTATGTATTTATTGTCAAAGCATTTAATTTATTCATTGCTATCGGGATGTTAAGAGCATTCCATGGAATATAACAACAAGTGTTTCTGAAATAAATCACATACCCTACCTTTAAAGCCATTCTCAGACATGGAATAAATGGTGTTTCTGGCTCCGTCCATTATGTAAATGTTCCATAATGCCATGAACAACAGCACCCCAGATTTTAGTCCATCTGGGGACATACATTTGCATCACTCTCTCCTGTCTTCTCTCTAATGGCGCCATCTGATAACGACCAAAAATGCATAAAAATGTGATATAAAAACAACCTTTCTCCAGTTGAGAGCATATGTTGTGTTTCTAGTTCTTCCTCTACCAACATGTGTTGACAAGTAAAAACGTAGCACTTAACAACAGTATTTATCAGGAGATAGCAGCATCTCCTAGTTTCTAAGAGACAACGGCAATTTATAACCATACATAAATAAAAAATAACTGAACAATGTGACTGTAGGGGCCTCTGCTGGAATTGGCTAAATGAATAATAGATAAATAATTGGTCCTATGAATATGGCATATTAACCTTCATGCAGCTTTTTGTGGAAGGCTGGTTAACAAAACATAATAAACATCTAAATCAGTTGAAATTCCCATGACAGTTGGTTTTAGATATTAAATCCCTTCCTTGTAGCCTGTCTGCTGCACAAAGATGCAGAGCTGATTGTTTTTTTTTAATAACCTGTTGCAGGATGACGCTAACAGGCACACTTAGTTCCTTCGTGCCTAAGAACTAACCAAGAGCAGCTTTCTCTGCTTAAGAAGCTAATCTATCAGGACCACTTATGCAAATCGAGTCACTTTACATTTTCCAGTTAGAACACCTGGGCAGTCGGCAGCAGCAGGCAACAGGCAGAAAGAGGCAACAGGCAGAAAGAGGCAACAGATAGCAAGCACCAGGCAGAGACTCAGAAGAAGACAGTCAGAGATGGCAAAAGTACACACATCCTTTACTCAAGTAGAAGTACAGATACTCGTGTTTAAAAATACTCTGGTAAAAGTAGAAGTACTGACTAAACTTCTTTACTCAAGTAAAAGTAAAGAGGGCTTTGAAATGTACTTCAGTAAAAAGTACCCATAACTAGCAGCTGTTTTAAAGAGTACCTGACCTCCCTTTATATTAATAGAACAATAATGTCATTGTTAGCTAATGAATGTTTCCATGCTGAACAACGGCAACATGACAACGTTTTCATTGGTCCCTCTTCTTTAGAGAAGACCAGGAAATGATGGATACACGGATCGTGTTCAAATCAATAGGCACGCAATGACTCTAAATAATAATGATCACGCCACCAAACACACATTCAAACTAAAGGAACCAGCCTGTTTGGGAAATGTGAGAAGTAGAAAGTACAGGTATTTGGGTTCAACATGTAAGAAGTAGAAAGTACAGGTATTTGGGTTCAACATGTAAGAAGTAGAAAGTACAGGTATTTGTGTTCAACATGTAAGAAGTAGAAAGTACAGGTATTTGTGTTCAACATGTAAGAAGTAGAAAGTACAGGTATTTGTGTTCAAAATGTAAGAAGTAGAAAGTACAGGTATTTGGGTTCAACATGTAAGAAGTAGAAAGTACAGGTATTTGTGTTCAACATGTAAGAAGTAGAAAGTACAGGTATTTGTGTTCAACATGTAAGAAGTAGAAAGTACAGGTATTTGTGTTCAACATGTAAGAAGTAGAAAGTACAGGTATTTGTGTTCAACATGTAAGAAGTAGAAAGTACAGGTATTTGTGTTCAAAATGTAAGAAGTAGAAAGTACAGGTATTTGTGTTCAAAATGTAAGAAGTAGAAAGTACAGGTATTTGGGTTCAACATGTGAGTGATTCTACAATTTAGGGTATTCCATGTCCATTGATGTCCATTGATGATAATTATAATTATTCTAAGTATTTTCTTCAAAAATATCATATTTAGCCTATTATTGGAAAGCATGTTATAATATCACACAAACATTATGTGTATCCTATGCTTTATTTAGCTTGAAATGTGTCATGATGTTCTTAAATTGTCAATTTTTGCTCTGTCCGTTTTTCAGTTGAGGGTGTCTTGGTTTCAAAATAATGAATAAAAACCATTAAAGTAAATAAAAAAAAGTATTCATTTATTTCAAAAGTCTAAATACTAAAGAATAATAACATCTTTTTAATTGATTTCCTCCTTTAAATAATTTAAATATCTTAATATATGAATGTCCGCAAAAGTTCTGTCAACTATGTTACTAAGAGAACTCCCCCCTTTAACTCAAAAATGGTTTGTCCCAATACCATGTCACCAGCATCACATGATGCCATGTTCCTCTTTGGCAGACATTTTGAACACACTGTGGTGATTGTCCTCTAATTTTTTACAATATTTTATGTATAATAGCACATGGTCAATTAATATACTCATTGACAATCAACAATGTTACGTACATTGTTATGGTTTACAATTGTTTAATGATTTTAATTCAATTATATGTTCAAATGTGATGTTAACCTGTTCAAGAAAATGACATGTGGTCATCCAGGCAAGGCCTACCATTGAAATGATGGGTCAAAATAGGGAAATTGTCAACTAAGTTACCTGTCAACTAAGTTACCCAGTACTGTAATAACTGTAGTAACTTAGTTGACAGGTAACCTAGTTGACAATT